GGGTGGGGGAGGAACAAGCCAGGCAAGACTAAGGCGAGAGGCTGGCTACCCAGCTCCTCATGTGGGCTGCTGGGCTCAGATTTCCCCTCCTGCCCCTGCCCTGAGCTGTTGCCCTCACTAGTCCTGGAGTGCACAGGGCAAGCTGGCTGTGCAGAGGGCTCCCAGGCAGTGCCTGTGCTTAGTGGACCCTTCTGGATGCCATTGTCACACCCCTGACTCCCAGCACCTCATCAACACCCCAGCTCCCAGCAGGATGCAGCAGGCTGTCCATAATACATGTGCAGAATGTGAGAGCGCGGCCGTACCCATGCCAGGGGGCCATGGGCCTCCGTGCTGGCTGGGGCACTGCATGTGTATGGAACACACAGGATCAAAAGCCAAAGCTTGAGCTCAAATCCCCACAGGGCCATTTCACCACTCCCCCCCCCCCGGCCCCACCATGTCACTCTGTTTCTCGAGACAGACCCTGCATGTGAAGTGGAGTGACTCTGCCTCCCCTTTCCAGTTTGGACTGAGAACTGAATGTGATATCTGGTCAAGCACTTAGCGGGGGCAGCAGGGCTGGCAGCGGAGCTGGCACAGGCAACTGCTCAGCTGCTCAGAATACCCAGCCAGGTTACTGCTGCTGTCATTATGGATGGAGAAGGGGCTGGCAGTGGTTTGGGGATGAAGGAGGGGACACCTCCCAGGGCCCCTGGGCAAACAGTACCATCATCACAGGGGCACTGAGGAGCCATCCTGAGCTTCTCCTCAGCTCTGTTAGGCCGGGGCCTTCCACAGCCCTGCAGAGGGGGGCAGGATGAGTACCCCAGTCTATGGATCAGGACGTGGAGCTCACAGGGAAGGGTTTTGCTCTGGGGGCAACCACTGCTCAGCACAGGACAGTTTGCACACCCAGCCAATGTCTGTGGTGGTTCCTCCCATCCCCTTCCTACCTCCCAGCTGCTGTTGAGGTAGCTGCTGTCATGAGCCCCATCTGCAGATCAGAAACTGAGTCCAAGGCAAGAGGAGCCAGGCAACCTGTAGCGTCTGCATGGCCAGGAGATCCCCTGAGCTCTGGGCAAGTGGTGAGGGGCAAATTCCTCTTTCACTTCTACAGCATCAGCCCTCAGCCTGCATCTCTCCAGACCCCCAGGCCCTGGCTAAGGTCCATAGTCATGGGACAGAGCCTGAGGGGGAGACTGGTGGCTGAGGAATGGCCTCCAGTCTGGAACCTGTGAATATAATACCTGGTCCAGCAAAAGAGACTTTCAGATGTGATGAAAGATCTTGCAATGGGGAGTCATCTGGATTATCTCTGGGGCATAGGGCCTTGGAAGAGGGAGGGAGGAGGGCAGAATCAGAGAGGGACTAGAAGAGGCCATGCTGCTAATTTTGAAAATAGAGGATGAGGCCATGAGCTGAGGGATGAAGGTAGCTTCTAGAAGCTGAAAAAGGCCAAGAGAAAGAATCTCTCCTGGAGCCTGCATAAGGGAGCAGTCCTGTCGACACGTCAGTTTAGGACTTCTGACTTCTAACTGTAAGCTAAAGGATCTGTATTGCTTTACAATCATGAAATTCATTTGGAAAAATAAGAGATAGCCAAAAGCAGTAATAATAATAGCAAATAATAGCCAAAGCAATCTTTATCAAGAAAAGTGAAGCAGGAGGCATCACAATACCAGACCTTAAACTATACTACAGAGCTATAGTAACAAAAATGACATGGCACTGGCCCCAAAACAGATACGTAGACCAATGGTACAGAATAGAGGACACAGAGACAAACCCATATAAATACAGTCGTCTTTTGCTAGACAAAGGTGCCAAAAACGTACATTGGAAAAAAGATAGCTTCTTCAACAAATGGTGCTGGGAAAACTGGAAATCCATATGCAGAAAAATGAAATTAAACCCCTATCTCTTACCCTGAACAAAAATCAACTCAAAGTGGATCAAAGACTTAGACACTAGAACAGAGACCCTGTGCCAAATAGAAGAAAAAGTAGGCCCAATCTTCACCATGTTGGCTTAGGACCTGACTTCCTTAACAAGACTCCTGAAGCACAGGAAGAAAAATCAAGAATCAATAAATGGGAAGGAATTAAACTAAAAAGCTTCTTCACAGCAAAGGAAACCATCAAGAACGTGAAGAGAGAGCCTATAGAATGGGAGAAAATCTTTACCACATGCACCTCAGATAGAGCATTAATCTCCAGGATATGTAAAGAACTCAAAAAACTTAACACTGAAAAAACAAATAACCCAATCAATAAATGGGCTAAGGAACTGAACAGACACTTCACGAAAGAAGAAATACAATTGATCAACAAACATATGGAAAAATGTTCAACATCTCTAGCAACTAGAGAAATGCAAATCAAAACTACTCTAAGATTTCATCTCAGTCCTGTCAGAATGGTAATTATCAAGAATACAAATAACAATAAATGTTGGTGAGGATGTGGGGGGAAAGGTACACTCATAAACTGCTGGTGGGACTGCAAATTGGTGCAACCACTCTGGAAAGCAATAAAGTTCCTCAGAAAACTTGGAATGGAACCACCATTTAACCCAGCTACCCTACTCCTAGGTTTATACCCAAAGGACTTAAAATCAGCATAATACAGTGACGCAGCCACATCGATTTATAGCAGCTCAACTCACAATAGCTAAACTATGGAACCAACAAAGGTGCCCTTCAACAGATGAATGGATAAATAATTATGGTACATATACAAAATGGATTATTACTCAGCCTTAAAGAAGAACAGAATTAAGGCATTTGCATATAAATGGATGGAGCTGGAGTGTATTATGCTAAGTAAGCCAATCCCCCCAAACCAAAGGCTGAATATTTTCAGATGCTAATTCACAATGAGGGGTTGGGCAGAATAGAGGTACTTTGGACTAGACAGAGGAAAATGAAGGGGCGGGGGGGCTATGGGGATAGAAATAATAGTACAATGAATCAGACATCATTACCCTATATGCATATATTAATATGTGACCTGTGTAACTCCACATCATGTACAGCCAGAATAATGAGAAGTTATACTCATATATGGTGTGTCAAAATGCTTTCTACTGTCATGTATAACTAATTAGAGCAAATAATAAAAATTGAAAAAATAAATTGCTATCTGTAATATACTAAATGACAAAACATGATAAAATATTGCTATTAAAAACTTCGTTTAAAAAAAAAGAAGAATCTGTATTGCTTTAAGCCACTGAACTTGTGGAGATTTATCACTGCAGCCAGAGCAAACCCATATGAACTGATCTGTAAAAACATCCAACTGACCTCACGTGGGTCTTCCGTGGGGCTCTGGGTATGCTGGAGGAATCAGGAGGTGTGAGGACTGACCGCAGCTCTGGGGCCACACCTGAGCCACCATCTGCACTGCTCTTGGCCACCCCCGCCCAGGCAGCTGCCGACAGGAGCAGCTCTGGCCCCCGCAGCCTTTGGGCTGCCTGTGCTCCTGCACAGTGACCAAGGTACAGGGCTTTCTGGAAAAAGAGTGGGAGAGAACTTGAGGGGGATAGTCTTTCCCAGAGCTGCTCAGAGCCTCACTTTGCAAAGCCGGCAGGGTGGAGCTGCTGCCATCCAGCTACTGGTAGGCAGTGCCACCACAGTGCCCTCCTCGCTGTCCCCTTCCTCTGTACCACACGACCATCTAGCTTGCCCCTGGCCAGCACGGATCTCTCTTAGGCATGTCTTTGATTTCCCAATGGGATCGGTTGTGTTTGAAACTTGTCCCTCTGCCCAGTGGCTCAGCGGGGAGAGCATAGGCTTGAGGGTTGGGGACCTGCATTGGATACTAGGTGCTGTCTTCTGCTAGCCAGTGGCAGAAGCAACCTCTGAGCCTGGCTCTCAGAACCCTAGCCCTCCCGTGGGATACGAGGGGACATTCAGTCTCCCCAGCTCTTCCAGATGTCAGCTAGGCCGTGTCCATCTTGGTGTCCCCAGCACCTGGTCCAGGGAAGCACCTTCTAAATGTCTGTTAAGTGAAGGAGGCCCATGGGAGGCCCAGCTCCGAGCGCAGAGCCTGGGCAGAAGCAGCTCATGGCTAAAGCTGGGTAGGGGGGGGTGCAGCCAGGCCCCAACCCACCTGCTGCCAGTCTTCCCGTGCCCTCCTCCCAGGCCTCTTTCAAGCTGCTTCTCAACACCTTAATGTTGACACTTTTGGGTAGGCTTTTAAAATTGCTCTATAATTATTTTCAAAAAGCATCTTTGCAAATTGGGCCTTTGATGTCCAGGAGCATGGCACAGGTGCCTTTTGTATTCTGTAACCCATGGGCCTTGCTACCGGGAAGCTGGGCAGAAGCCGAGGTGCTCCTCCGCAGTGCCTGGCCTCAGACACCCGTGTTGATGAGTGAATGCTGGGCGGGTGAAGGAGTGACATAAGTGTGACTGACGGACAGGGGAGCTGGAGAGCAGTCAGTGAGCCTGGCCTTCTCTGCAGTTCAAACGGTCTTGGAGCAAGGTATGTTCTGTGTCTGCATTTGCTAACCCTACTCTGTGGCTTAGCAGTTCTGCCAGATGTGTCATTCAAGACATTTGGAAAAGGAAATTGGTGTGTGTGGGGGGGTGCCCCTCTGGCCAGAATTGCCTGGAAAATCATGGTATTCTGCCAAGTTAGACAGATCTCCTGACGGGGCTTCTCAGAGCCTTCTATGCTAATCAGCCTTGCAGATCCAGGAGCATCAGTGACGCCCTTTCCTCCAACTTATTGACCAGGGGTCCGTCTTCCAGGGCGGGGGTCCGTGGAACAGGCAGAGAAGGCTGCTGTAAGGTGGAAGGAGCCTCCGGCTGGTGGGAGAGCAACACCTCAGAGAGCATGGCCCTACTGACCAACGGCTCAGCCTCTGCTGGCCCCGGGAAGCTGGCCCTGACTCTGCCTGCAGCAGAGGTCCTTGATGGACAGCCTCGGAGCCCTGCAGTCATGAGGAGAGGTGCTGCTATCACTGCTTGTCCCTGGTGACCTGCCTTAGTTCATAAGAGCCAGAAGGTCCCATAGTTTTCACCACTTTATTATCTTCTGCACCCACTAGGTCCCTGCCGAGGGCCACCCTTCCTCCAGAAGGGCTTGTCGAGGGTTAATCCATAAGGTCACTTGAAAACGAAGCCATTATTCCCTTCTTAAAGGTTAATGTGTTTTTTCCTGGAGTGTGTGAGTGGAAATTTCAAGTATTCCACATTCTTCATGGAGCCAGGAGAAGTCCTGAGCGCCTTCAGAAAAATGAGCCCTTGGAGTGTGAGCCTGAGAGCCCCAGAAGGATGATTGGTCCCCTGGAAGTGTCACTGCCTACAGAAGGGTCCCAGCAGGTCTCAGGGAGCTGGGGCCCCTCCCCATTCGCCAGTCATTCGGGGCCCCCTGTGGCCAGCCTCTCCTGCCGGCCCAGCTCCGTGTGTGTCCTTGTGCGCTCAGCTTAAGATTTTAAAACAAGAACCAAGTCCCTATTCCAAGTGCCCCCTCAGATCAGCGTCCACCCTGGTCCCATTAGCCATGGCCACCCTTAGCTCTGCTGGATCCCTGTCCATGGAGAGGAGGACTGAGCAGACCACACCCCAGAGGGCTATCCAGGCACGTCCTCCCCTGCAGCGTCTCCCAGGTGCCTACCTCAGTCTGCAAGGGTGCGCTGCACCTCTCCACCCCCAGCGCAACTCTGGCTTCCAGGTGAAGGGGCGGCCACGTTAGAACTGCACCTCCCTTTGTAATGACATCTCCTGGGGTTTCCTGGCTCATCTGCTACCACCCAAGTTTGCTGTTGAGCTACAGTGGACCAGAGGTGACAGGGCTCTTCTGGCCCACAGTGTCAAGAACACTACCATCTGGCCCTGTTTTCTCTGAGTCCATCATCCATTGTCTTTGGGGACTGCCACACGGTGTTTGCTTAGCCCTCAGGAGGCCTCAGGAGATATCAAGCGCAGCGACAGTCACACCACGGTCGTGACCCAGAAACATCTTGAGTCCTTTAGCAATTGCTCACCGAGGGCCTCTGCACTGAGACACAAGCAGGCCCTAGGGACAGGACAGCCAACAAGATGCAGAGCTCTCCACACAGGCTGAGGGCATCTTCTAAACTGACCAGGGCTCTCACCCTGGGTGTCCACAGGTGAGGATTTAGTACTCCAAAGAGCAAATGGGATCCCTGGCACAGGAAGTGCAGTTTTCTGAGGATACTCTCCACAGCCAAGCATCCGCAAGAGAGAAGGGGTCAGGGATGAGCTCAACCGGTCAGCTGCTCATCCCTGCAGCTCCAGGACCTGACCCAACGGCTGAGGTTGGAAACTCTGGTCCTCACCCCACCTCCTTTGTGGAACCAACAGCTCATTCCTTATTCCATACCCCAAAATACACCCAGACATACCATCACCCAGAATAAAAGACCATATTTCCCAACTTCTCTTGCAGCTAGATGTGGACTTGTGTAGATTTTGGCTAATGGGATAGGAATGGGAGTGATGTGAGCCATTTCCAAATTGTGCTCTCACCTTCTTGCCCCTTTATTCTCTCTCACTTCTGGAATGCAGATGTAATGGTAGGGACAGAGCAGCCATTTTGTATCTTCAATTGGAAGCTATGTGCTGGGTGGGATACAGAGAAACAAGACAGAAGGGAACTGAGTCCTTCACCATCAACTCTGGTCTGTGAACTAAAAGCTTTATAGGAGAGAAAAATGGGTTTCTGTGTTGTTTGAGCCACTATCATTTTGGATCTCTGTTGCAACAGCCAAACATATAAGCCCCAGCAAGGGCTCCATGTAAACCTTCAACCCAGATGAGACAGCAGGGATGCTACCCAAGTGAAGCCCCCTTGACTTCTCCCACTTGGGAACTCTGGGTCCAGCCGGCTGCTCCCATCCAGGACCAGCATGGCGGCTGCCTCCCCCTCTGCCGGGGAGGGCTTCTCCACCCTGCTGCTTCTGCTGCCGCCCACGCCATCGCCCACACCATCTCTGAGCTGGAGGAAGGACTGGGGGGGGGGAGGAAGCGGGGGTTCTGCCAGCGAGGCCGATGGAGACTTAGTCCTCCGCAGCCCCCTGACCTTCTCCTTGGCCTCCCCCCTCCCTGCGAATGGAGGCAGCCTGCAAAGAACCCCGGGTCAGCTGCACCGAGGGGCCTCTGGGAACAAAAGACTGTCAGGGATTGCAGATGGGCCTACTGCGATGTCAGCATAATCATTCACGGCCTGGCTCATTTGGCCTCTGCAGGCGGGCGGGGCGCTCTGCTCCGTGATCTCAGCCTTCCCTAGGCGTCCCAGCCCCGTTCCCATAAAATCATAGGAGCGCTGCCAATTAGAGCCCTGCCAGCCGAGGCCCCTCGAATGTGATCAGCCATAATAACTTAATAGCCTTAAGTTTGGGAGGCTGCTTCTGAAGCTCAGCGTCTTCGCCCCCCCCGTAGCTGGGCTAATCTGAAAAGGCTCTGCCAGCCCTCCCCACGCCAATTATCTCAGGCTCCCGCTCCTGCAGAGGGACCTGTCTCCGCAGCCTGCCTGGCCACTTAGCTGACAGGCAAGGGGTGGGCCTAGCTCCCCGCTCTCCACCTAGCCAGCGTCCCAGCCCAGATTTCCCCAGAGAAAAAAAATCGCAGGATACAAAAGCTTCAGCCTTCACCCCACACAGCCACTTGCCCCCCCTGCCCGCAGCCATCAGGAAAGTGCCCACTGGGTGTCAGAGATCATTCGAGAACAAGAAGGACTATAACCGGGAAGAAACCTGAATATGCACCACTTTGTGTTGGATCAAGTGTACCACACAGCTGGAAGGGAGGCCGGGCTGGAAAACAAATGTTCCAGTGTCTTTACGAGTGACCTCCAAGTTTCCACGGGCTTCTAATCCCTCTGTCATAATTCAACTTGTTGGCTTGGAGATGTTGCTGTGGCCGCTGGAATTCCATGATCTCCCAGAGGCTCTGCAAGCCAGCGCAGTTCCCTCCACAGCCAGCACACGGTCCTGTTCCTCTAGTGGGGTAGGAGCCGAGTTTCCATCTGGCGGGTGGAAAACCCCTCTGAGCTGTGTTCTAGAAGCTAGATCCAGGCAGGCAGCAGGGAGAGGTCTGGTGGGGGTGGGGGAAGGTCTGCCACAGGGCAAGTGGCCACTGTTTCAGAAAGAGCTTACCCCTGGGGGAGAGGGCCAGGGGCCTTCTAAGAGATGCTGGTAGGACCAGCCCTTAGCAGTGGCCCAGCCACCCTCTGTCAGCCACCCCCCTCCAAGTCCATCCATTCAATGACCTCCCTCCGACATGCCACCATCTGACTTGATTGCTCAGAGCACCTAAAACTCACAACCTAAATGCAGCTTTGGTTTCCCCCAGGGTGGCTGGCAGCTTCGAACATGGCTAGGGCTGTCCTGCTTAAGTGCAGATCCCTCCCCGTGAGTGTGGCTATGCCTGCTGCACTTCCCAGCTGCCCGCTGTGGCCAAAGTGATGGTTTAGATGGGTTCCAACTGTGACTTCTACCTTGCTCTTTCTCTGGCTTCTCTCACATTCTCACTGTGAGGATGGAGAGGCCCTGTAGCCCTGTGGGCCTCTCTCTCCCACTCAGACGTGAGCCCTGTGAGGCCAGAGCTGTTATTTGTCATGTGTACTAGCCTCTGGTTGCTGCTGTAACAAAGCACCACACACTAGGTGGTTTATAACAACAGAAAATCCTTCGCTCACAGAGAACCAGAGGCTGGAGGTATCTGCAGGGCTGCCTCCTTCTGAAGGGTCTTGATCAGAGTCTCCTGTGCCCTCCAGTTTGGTAGCTCTGGACCTTCTTTGGTTTTTAATCCAGGATGATCTCATCTTGAGACCCTTAACTTAATCATGTCTGAAAACACCCTTTGTTCCATAAAGCATAGTCCAGGCTTCTGGGGCCATGTCTTTTAGGGGCCACCATTCAACCTCCCTGAAGCTTGCTCTCCTCTGCATTTTACCCTGGGGTCTGTGGCAGTCCCAGGCATTTCTGAGAGCACCCAATAAATACATGTTGATTGAATACGGTTGACTCCACGAGCCCACTTGCACCAGCCTCTTCTGGAGGGATTCTTAGAACACAAGCTGCTGGGTGGACCCACTCCCAGAGCTGTTGACCCGCAGGCCCACAGTGCCGTCTGCAGGGGGCAGTGGGGCCTGAGTGGATGGTCTTGCAGGTTCTCTCCAGGGGGCCCAGTGGAGGTCAAGATTCACCCCCAAAATAAAATTTATGGGTTCTGGGCTGCTTGTTCCACAGAGAAAGAAGCACAGGATGAAGATATCTTGAAAGCACCGCCATTAAAATGGATGATTAGCCAGGAAGACTCAGGGTTGTCAGGGGCTCTCCCCAGGCACAGCCTGAGCTGGGCCCCTTGCTCTCAGCCCAGCAGAACGTGAGGCCTTCCTCCCGCCCTCCCTCCTTTCCTCCTTCCCTTTTCTTTTTGTAAAAAATAGTTGCTTTGAGATGGAATCCACATGTACCCATGATGAGTTGCACTATTCAGTGGTTTTTAATATATTTACAGGCAGGTGAAACCATCATCACAGTCAATTTCAAAACATATTCATCACCTCAAAAAAGAAACCCCATGGCACCGAGCTCTCCCGCGTCTCCCAGCCCCAACCCGAGATGCTCACTAATCTGCTTTTGTTTTTGGAGGGCTCATACCATATGTGGTCTGGCTTCTTTCACTGGCCAGTGTTTTCAAGGTCTAGCCATGTTGTTGAAGGTATCAGTACTCATTCCTGTTTATGGCTGAATAATGAATATTCCATTGTTTGGATAGACCACATTTTGTTTATCTGGTTGTCAGTTCTTGGAAATTCAGGTTCTTTTCAGCTATTGTGAATAATGTTGCTATAAACATTCATGTACAAGTTTCTGTTTGGACATATGTTTTTATTTCTCTTGAGTATATACCTAGGACTGGAATTGCTGGGTCATGTGGTAACTCTGTTTAATCATTTGAGGACCTGCTACACTGTTTTCCAAAATAGCAGCAGCATTTTAAATTACCACCAGCGGTCCATAAGGGCTCTGATTTACCCACCTCCTCTGAGAGCCATCATCTGTCATTATTTAACATTTGATGCTAGCCATCGGGTATGCTGTGCAGCGTCTCTTGGTGATGACCACCTCTTTGTGTGCTCATCGGCCATTTGTGTATCTTCCATAAAGAAATGTCCTTTTGCCCATTTTTGCCCATTTTTAGATTTTCATTATTGACTCGTAAGAGTTCTTTATGTCGTCTAGCTGCAAGTCTTTTATCAGATATACAATTTGCAGTTATTTTCTCAGCAAATTGTATATGATCACAGTACAGAAGGTTCCCTCCCACCTCTTTGTCCTCGAGCTCTCCCTGACTACCAGTCTGGCCCCTAGGAGCCACGGTCTGTCTTCTGTTCTGACAGTTTTGCCTTTTCCAGAATGACATGGAAACAGATCCACTTAGTGCATGGACTTTTGTGTCCGCTTCTTTCAGCCAGCCGAGTGCATCTGATGTCCCTCTGCACTGTGTGTGTGGGCAGTGCGTTCCCCTAAGGCCACGCCACCACTGACCGAGGAACGTGGGCTGCTTCCAGCCTCTGTGATCGCAAATGGGCCACTCTGCGCACTCACTTGTAGGTCGCTCGCATGAAGGTGAATTTTCATATCCCTTGGGTTAGTGTGGGAATGCGGGATCATGGAGTGAATGAGTTTATGAGAAGCTGCCCAATGGTTTTTCCAAAGAGGCTGCAGCATTTCGCCTTCCCACCTGCAATAAGGGAGAGTTCTGGTGGCTCTCTCTGTCTGCATTTGGCATTGTCAGATTTAAATTATTTTTTCTATTCTAATAGGCATGTAGATATATCTCAATATGGTTTTAATTTGGATTTCTCAAATGACTAATGATGTTAAGCATGTGTTTATTGTCTACTCATTTATCTTTTGTGAAATGCTGGTTCAAATCTTTTGCCCATTTTCTTGAGCTTTTTGTTTTTTGATTACTGTGTTGTGAGAGCGCCTCATATATTCTGGACATTTGTGCTGTCAGGTATGTGTCTGGCAACCATTTCCTCCCAATTGTATTAATCACCCATTGCCACATGACAAATGGCTTCCAAACTTGGCAATTAAAATGATAAACATTTATTATCTCACCCCATCTCTGTGGGCCGTGCATTTGGAAGTAACTCAGTGGGGTCGTCCTGCCTTGGGGTCTCTCAGGCATTTGTGGTTAGGGTCTTAGGCAGAGCTGTAGTCTCTGGCTGGTGGTTGGTGGGCTGGCCGGGGGTAACAGCTCTGCAGAGGCCAGGTGCCACCTGGGTGTCCTCCCAACATGGCTGCTGGCTTTCCCAGGGAGTCCTCTGAGAAAGTCAGGCAAGGCTGGGGTCCTCCATCTCACTCAGAGGCCACACGTGGTCATTTCTACAAAAACCTACACAGATCAGCCCTCTGCCCTCTGGGAGTAGATCATACAGGCAGTGAAAGAACAGAGGCAGGACCACCTGAGTGGTGACCACCTATCTTCATCTTCTTAACCACAACTTTCAAGGAGCCAGCCGCCTGGTCACTTGTGTTGTGAGAGCAGCTGTCTGAGCCTCAGTCACCTTATCTGAAAAGGGGATGGCCTCTTTATGGAGGAGGTGACCTCTTTGAAGGCATCTGAGAGGGGCCTTGCTTCAGGCTCCCCCAGGCCCTTCATCCTCTCCTTCAATTCATTTGCGGAGAAGCTTCCTCCAGCTGTTCCAGAGCGAAATACTCGTGACAGCTGCCTTCGTGGGGCTTCTTGGGGAGGAAGCAGACCCAGAGCCACACGAGGAGGTTCATCAGAACAGCGGGTGACCTAGCGCACCCAGGATGGACCTGCGGCGATACCCTCCAGCTCGCAGACCTCGCCGATCAAAGGGTGCCAAAGACGCACCATGCCTGGGCCTTGCAGCTGCTGAGGACCTCCAGACTCAGGACCCAGGGACATTGGCGGCCCCTGACCCCCTCAGCCCCAAGGAGGGCGTTGGTGGAGCTGGGTGCTGAGGGCCTGGAGGAAGGCCCCAGCCCGGCGGCGCCTGGGGGGTGAGCAGGCTGCACAGATGACGCTTCCTGCAAGACAGGCCCGGAGGGACCTTAATTAGATTCCCGAACCTGAGGTTTCCTTGAGATGAAACAGCCCCAGGGCTGTGAGTGCGGAGCGTGCGTCTGTGTTGTGTCCCCTTCCCAGAAACTGCCCTGCTGGGCTGCCGCCTACGCCCTGCTCCTCCGGCCATATGCCAGCGCTGGCGGGAAGCCGTCCCACCGGGGCAGGGTGCTTGGTTTCCGGCTCAGAGATGCCAGGTGTCTGCTCCTGAGCCCAGATGGCCAGGGCCTACCGGGAAGGCCTGCCTGGTGCGTGGGCTCCGCCTGAGTTTCCGCCCGCCCTCCACCAACCTCTCCCAGGGGCCCCACAGGCCTGCTCCAATGCGCCTAGTTTCTGCACCTGTGCAAAGCCAGTGGTGACCCCAGACGGTGCAGCTGGACCGAGTGGACGCCAGGAGGGACTCGCTGTGTTCTCATGCGGCAGCCAGGAGCCTGCAGGGGTCTGCACTCAGATGTGGCTCCATAAGGAACTGTCCAATGTGGACACCCAAAGGGCCGTCCAGGTCTAGGAAGAGTTCTGGTTCTTTGGGCCCCCACAGCACCTGGGGGAAGGGTGGCCAGGACATATGCCCGACAACCAGTTGCATCTGAATTTCAGATAAGCAAGAAATAATCTCTTATTAGTATATAAGGATATTCCATGAGATATTGGGGATATGCTTATGCTATAGAATTGCTTTTCATCTGAAATTCAAATTTAACTGGCGTCCTGCATTTTAACTGGCTAAATCCCTACCTGGGAAGGCACCA